CCTTCAGCACTAAAACTGAAACCAACCAACAACATGACAAGAAAAAAAATAGAGGTCTTAGCAAAGTGTCTCATAGCCCTTGATTTTATTTTTACTTAAATCCAGCTCTTCATTTGATAATCTCACACTGACTTAATGGGTTGGAGATCAGAATATCATTTTGAACTATGTACCTTTATATTTCCTTTAAATTCAGCTTGAACTCTGACTAGTTCTTTTCTGAGAAACAGCTAGCTGACATTTTCAACATTCTGCCTAGAAATCTCTTTTCTCAAGGCCAAATGTTCATTGGGTATATTTGCTATATTCCAAGTTACCCCAGGAGGTAACATAGGTTGTCATTTTTTCCCAATCACCTCAGTTTCCTCACAGTTTCTCAGCCTCTTATGATAGTTTTTTGCACAAGTCTCCATCTGCAGCCCAGTTCCAGCATCACGTTTTAGGTGTTTCTTTTGTCACCTATTTCTGTATCAGTTATCTATTACTGCACAATAAGCCACTTCAGCCTGTTGCCTTACAACAATATTCACTCAGCTCATGACAAGGCTGGACTCAGTTGGATTGCAGTCTTCGTCTCCTTTGGACTTATTCACAAGTTTGGGACAGGCAACTACAATGTGGTTGATCCTGGAAGGCTTTGCTCAAGCCCCAACCTTCTTGTCTTTCTCCCCCTCACCTCCATCCCAAACTTCTCAGTGCTAGGGATGGAACCCAGGCAGAGGCACGTTTCCAGGGATAGGCACAAAATTTTTCCGACAAAAGTAGTAAGCAATGCGAGAGAGCAATCCTAATTGTGTAAGTGCTTTGTGTGGTTGTGTTTATTTTGCACTATTGAGGATTAAACTCAGTGTCTTTGCACTGAGCTACTTCAAACTTTTTTATTTATTTATTTATTTTTGGTACCAGAGGTCAAACTCAGGACCTTTTGCTTGCCAGGCTCCTAAGTGCTTTTAAAGGGCCTGTTGACAGACTCATTGGCTAAAGCAAGGCACATGGCAGGGTCCAGAGGGGATGGCACACACGCACACACACACCCATGGCAAGGCCTGTGGTTATAGAGACAAGCGAAGATCTGGGTTACCCTTTTGCAACCTACCACAGGGGTCAAGGTTTTATTTGCTTCATAAAAATCACTTGAAGTATTTCTTCCTTTCCAGAGTCCTTGAGTGGATTATGTAGTACTGGGATTAACTAGGCTGTGAATATTTGGTGGATTGTCTACCTAACCTGCCTTTTTAACAGCATAGCTCTTTGATAATCTTTTCTATTTCCTTTATGAAAATTAGTCTATCTAGGGGCCTGGAATGTAGCTCACTGGCAGGACACCTGCTGGCAAACTCAAGGCCCAGAGTTTGATTCCCAGTACCTCTGTCGCCACCCCCCAAAAAAAGAAGAAAAAAAAAAGTAGTCTATTTAAACTTTCTATCTATTGGAATCATTTTAGTAAATTGTGTTTTCCTCCATTATTGTTCATCTAAGTTTTCTCATTTATTTGCATAGAGTTCTGAATAATAGTCCTTAAAATTAAAATTTTTTGTTTCAATGTTTTCGCTATTTTTTTTCCTGGGGAATTTTGCTTTCTGCACTTCTTAAATTACCTAGTTTGTCCATTTTAATTTTTTCCAAATAATCAAAATGCTATTTATTTATTCTATTTTTTCCTTTACCAAATGTATATTTTTATCCTTCTTTTTCCTGAGTTGAATATTAATTCATTTTTTCTTTCATTTATCAATGTCCCAATATTATAAGCTATACTTTTATTTACAATTTTAATTGTATCCCACAGATTTGTCATTAATCTTCTTGGGAAGCTCTGATTTCATTTCTCATTTGTCCCAAGAGTAGTTTAACAAAAAGTTTTTCTCTAGATAGGACTTTTTAAAAAGCATTTTATTCATTTATTTTATTGCATTGTGATTAAAGAAGGTCTTTTTGTTAATTTCTATAAAGTACTGATATTTTCTTTATGGTATCAAAACTGATAATTTTTTTTAATCAGAGGAGGTCAATACAAGTGTAGATCAAAGAATACAGTGGATGTTTAAATCTTAAAATTGCAGTAAAAGATACATTGGCATTAATACCTTTCAAAGCCCTCCCTCTTGCTTCAAACACACTTACCCCACTGTTCTTATCACTTTTTTATTTTTACTGGGGGACTGAACTCAGGACCTTGCATTTGTGAGGCAGGTGCAGTGCCACTGAGCTACATCCCCAGCCCTGTTCTTGCCCTCTCTGAAGCAGTTCTGGAAGTCTTTTTTTGTGCATCCCTGCAAGGCCTGATCAAAAACATGGTGAATGCTCCAGGCGCGTGCTATCCAACAACGGAAAGGCAGAGTCTTAAAAACATTACAGTGTGTCCTCAATCACTTTTTTCATCAGATCTGGCACCGTGCAATTTCTGATTCTCCCCCAAAGTCAAAATGGTCATGAAAGGTAAACATTTTCAATCGAAGTAGCGCAACTAAAGACATTCACAAGAGAACTTCCAGACGGCTTCAGAAAGTGGCAAGAAAGTCAGGATGAGTGTGTTTGATTTGAGGGAGACTATTTTGAGGGGGATTTATGGCAATGTGTCTAATGTTTTTAAAAAATGTAAACACTTTTTAAAATCATACCACATATACAATTAGAAGATCCATTCTATAAAAACTGTTATTTGGATCACTTAACATCCTTTTTTGTTTTTGTTTTTTTGAGACAGGGTCTCACTATGTAGTTGAGACTGACCTGGAACTTACTATGTAGCCCAGGCTGGTCTTGAACTCACAGTGATCCTCCTGCCTCAGCCTCCCAAGTGCTGGGATTACAGGCGTGTGCTACCACATCTGGCTACTTACATCCTTATATAGTTTTTGCCTTCAGTCTTGAAGACTGATGTGTTAAATTTCTCCATTAATAATTTCTAGCTTTCTGCCTACTTTTCCTGGCAGCTATTTCTTATACAAATGTAATATGCTTTGACAAGCTAGAAGTAACATGCCTGAAATAATGAAAAAGGAAGGAGAAAGAGAAAGCACAAAGAACTCTGTTGCCTAGGCAATAGGTGGGGATCAAGGAATATCATTTAAGTGACAAACCACTTAGTTGAGGTGGTAACATTCATAACTAACCTATCTTCATTGTGAACTGTGGCTTTTAGCATTATAATGTCCTTTGTATTTTCCTAAATTCTACCATCAGAGTTACTGTACTCTTTGCATTTTGTGATTTTTATTTTTCTGGTATGTTGTTGCTTATCCCCTTACTATTTAGTCTTTATTTTATTGTCTCTTATAAACGACAATGTTGTGGGACTGAGGATTTGGCTCAGTGGTTCTGCCACCTGCCTTCTAAGCACAAGGTCCAGAGTTCGATCCCCGGTACCACAAAGAAAAAAAAAATTACAACGTTGGTTTGTAAATCAATCTGAAATTCTTTTTAATAGATGGATTAAGTCCTTTCACTTTTATCAATATGACTCATGCTTGCACTTGTTCATTATGTATGATGCTTTATTTACTGCATGCTGCTCACAACACAATCTGCCTTTATTATTGTTTACTGGTCATTGAGGGAGATTTGCCTTTTATCTTAGTGATTATATTATTTACATTATACTAGTACTCTTATTTATACTGAACCATTACCTTTAATAGTATCAAATACCTTTTAATGCTTAGTTCTCCTTTTTCCATATTTAAGTCTCAACTATTTGACTTCTCAATTTTAAATAATACTGACTCCAAATATTTCTTATGCAACAAAGAGCTCTTGGTACTTTCTTCTTGCACTCGCTTCTTCACTTTCCCAATTGTCTACTATGAGGAAACGCGTACCACTGACACTATTTGTCCATCTCTATTTGCATTAGTCTTAGATCCAGAACTGTCGATATCCAGTGATTTCCTTGTCCTTTTGTTTCAAGTTTCCCCAGTGATCTTGATAGATGAAGCCTGTCTCTTAACAGACTCCTGTTTGGTTTAGATCTAGGATGTTCACCAAAAGTTTCATGTGTTCAGAACTTGGGCTTTGTGATGGTGATTGGCTTTTGGATGGATCATTCCACTGATGAGCTTATGGTTGAATGTGCTGTTAGGAGAGAGCCTGGATAGAGGCGTGGTGCATGACCTGGATGGGTGCATCTCCCTCCCTGACTTCTCCCTTCTCTCTGCTTCCTGGCCACCTGGATGTGAGCAGCTTTCTTCTGCAGGAGCCCCCTCCACTACGAGCAGCCAACCATGAACTGAAACTTTGGAAACCATGAGCCAAAACAAATCTTTCTTCCTTTAAATTGTGGGTTTCCAGTATTTTGTCTCAGCAATAAAAAGGTAACTAAGGAAGAGACTGTGACTATAACACTCCCTGAGCTCCTGTACTATGAAAACCTCCTTCTATATCCTTGATACTTAAAGGATAGTTTTGTTGTATACAAAATCCTTAGTTCATACTTCAAACTACTGCTCTACTGCTATCTCAATTTTTTTTCCTATCTTGATTTTTAAAAATGTCTTATGCCAATTTGATCTTTCTTCCTTTATAGAAACTAGATATTCTGGCCTAGAGACCAAGAAAATTTTTCCTTTACTTTCAAAGTATGTTTTCCAAGTAACAAAATAAATCATTTTAAGATAGTTTCAGTTCTTTTGTTTTTTTGCTAGTTTTAAACACTAACCCTGTTCCACTGTCTATCTTTTCTCTTCAGGAGTTCCAGTGTCACCAATATTGTCTTTTCTTTGCCTTATTTCTCATTCCTGCCTTCCTTGGGCCTAACTATACTATAGCCAAATCTACTCTCATTTGAATATCTTGTAATTTAGTCTTCATACCTGTCATGATTTTATTTTTTTGTTCACTTTCCTAAGTTTGGTCAGTTCTCTTTTCATATATGCTTGCCTTTTCATTTTCTCTCTCTCTCTCTCTCTCTCTCTCTCTCTCTCTCTCTCTCTGTCTCTCTCTCTCTCTCTCTCTCTCTTTTTGTACCAGGGATCGAACTCGGGCCCTTGTACTTGAGAGGCAGCCTGCAGAACCACTGAGCTAAATCCCTGGCCCTGCTTTTTTATTTTCATTGCACATTTTTGAATTTCTGACCTACAGTATTCTTTCATTTCCACAATCATTTGATTTATTTTAAAATTCAAGTTGGAGAGCTGTGCTACAATTTGATTTTTTCATGGTCCAAGAGAGCCCCTTCTTGTTGGTCAGTGATATAAATGTCTTTAACAAGTAATGTCCAGGAGGTGATAAGTTGAATTTTGGACTTCCTGTTTTATCTGATAGGCTGTCCTCTTTGGCTTCTTGCTTCCTCTTCCCTCTTTCCTCCACCAATCCTCCAAAGGACACCACTCCCTTTCAAAATGGCTTCCTCACCATCAGAAGTGATATTCTGGTCCAACTCATTGTCCAAACCTTTCTTTTTCACTTTCCACCGGCCACTGCTCTGATCCAATAGGTTCCAGACCTGTCTGTACCATCTTGCCCTGCTGAATGAGACTACAAATAGTTTGATTTAACTGGAGTCTCAAGTTCAGTGAGGGCCTGAGAATTCTGCTAGATCACAGAGGACTCTCTATGAAAGCTTTTGCAAAAATGTGAACAAGGAAGAGAGAGGATGAACTAAAAAAGGAGGGATAAGAGGAAGGAAGAACGAACTCATCACCATCTATACAAACATAGGAAGACAATCAAAACTAAGAATCACAACTTTTCATCTGATAAAAGAATTCCAAGATAAAAAAAGAAACCTAGAATTTAAGAAATTCTCCCAGAAGAATGACACATTTTCATCTATAAGTGAACTGCAAAGAGAGAGCGATGAAAGCCCTAGGCACCTGGGATGGCACAGGCTGTCTTTGGGCAGAGCTGAGGGTGGGCAGAAGGGTGTGGTGGGAAGCGGTGAGTTACAGCAGGTGGGTGTGGGAGGGGAGAGAGATCAACAAGGGAAGGAGGAAAGGTGCCACGAAGAGAGAAGGCCGAGAGCATGGAGGGGAGCACAGGCAGACAGAAGAGGACCTGGGAGAGCACTGCACACAGTGAAATGAGCAGGGGATCAATGGCCGGGAGGGCCACGTGTGGGGCAGAAGTGGCTGAAGGGTCTGGGTTGGGTTGTGACAGAAGCTGGAAAGCACTGTCAAGGTAACATGGGAATGAAGTGGCTATGGTTCAGGGCTTGGAGCTGAACGGCCAGAGTCGGGGCTGAGGCCAGAGGCCGGAGGAGGGCACTGTCTCCCCATTCTGCTGACTGTGGTCCCGAGATCAGCATTCATTCTGTCTTTGAAATGAGAAAAGTCACGATTTGTAGTGGACATAGCCCAGGCTTGATGTTATCCTGCTTCCTGAGATAACAGACAGGAGGGAAGAGATGTTCTCCTGCACCAGGGTTAAGGTAGACCAAATGTCTTTAGGGAGATGTGATGAGGCTGGATGTCAGATGGTCCTGGACAGGGCAGGAGCATGCTGAGAAGTCCACATGGGCAGGCATGGGTACTCCTGGAAGCAGGAAGGAAATGCCGGTGGCTCAGGGCCGCATCTCCACGTCAGATCAGTGAGTCTGGGCAGGCAGAGATGGTTGGGCCTGCAGGATTCATTCCAGATGGCCGTAGGTCTGGGACAAAATTTTCTGCTCAAGGCTGGCATACCGGGGGAGGAGGGCCTTATAGACCTGCAGGGGCGGCAGAATTGGAAGCTTAGGATGGGGTATAGGAGGGTACCCCATTACAAGTTGTAATTTTTAAATTTTGAATTTCATTTACTTGCAGTTTAACTTTTTTCCCCCTGGGCAAAGGAAAGGAACCATCAATTCACAAAAGAGGAAATGCTAGATGGAGGTATGGTGATGCACTTATACTCCCAGCTACTTAGAAGACTGAGGTAGGCGGATCAAAGTTCAAGGCCATCCTGGGCAATTCAGTGAGATCCTGTCTCAAAATAAAATAAGGGCTGGGGTATGGTCTTAAGGTCATCTATTGAGCCATAAATGCCTTAAGCTCATCCTTTTTTATGGCAGAGTAGAACTCCATTATATTAAAAAACTGCTGGGGCCAGGGATTTAGCTCAGTGGTTCAGTGGCCTGCCTTGCAAGCACAAGGACCCGAGTTCAATCCCTGGTATCAAAAAAAACCCAAAAAACTGTTTTTTGTTTTTTTTTTTTTTTAATGCATTCACCAGTTGATAGGCATTTGGGCTGTTTCCAAGATTTAGCTATTACAAATTGTTAGGCTTGAACTTTCGATCCTCCTGCTTCATCCTCTCAAAGTGCTGGGATTATAGGTGTTCACCACTATTCTCAGCTGAATTTTTAATTTTTATGGCTTGCGTGTGTGTTGAGGATTGAACCTAGGACCTCACACATGTTAAGCAAGCACTGCATCCTGATCTGTGCCTCCAGCCCTAGATTTTTTTTGTTTTTGTTTTTGGGTCCTGGGGATTGAACTTGGGACCTTGTGCTTGCGAGGCAGGCAGCAGCACCACTGAACTAAATCTCCAGCCCCCTAGATATTTACAATATTGTAAATTTTGGCAAGAAACACGTTTTCATTACCAAATATACAAAAGTTTTAAAAATTCTGGTACGAGTACCTAGGAATGGCTATCTCACTGAAAGTTGGTGGTATACTCCTCTTGCGAATCAACTTGACCTTATTTCTGTATTAAAGGATCCACAGCCTGTGACACAATTACTCTACTCTTTCTCCTAAGGAAATAATCCTTAATGCAAGGTCCCATGCTCACCAGGGATCATCATAAACCTATTAAATATTCAGATCGATGACGTCTGATCGAAAAATGGGGTGATCATTTAAAATTTTTAAATTTGTTACAGTAAATCATCATAGTGTCATCAGTTGTGTTGTTATGGCAGCCTTGATGTCTTGAATGGACTAAAAATATTTCCCTTTCATGGTCATTTTGACTTTGGGGAGGAGCCAGGGGCAAACAGTGCCAGAACCAGCGAACAAGGTGGGAGAAGACACACTGTGATGTTTTTACAAGCCTGCCTTTCCACGGGATGGCACTTGGCAGGAGCATGCACTGTACTTTTTATGAGACCCCAGAAAGACACTCACAAGAGAGGCTTCTTGAATTGCTTCAGCAAGTGGCAAGAAGGATGGAATAAGTAAGCGTGTTTGAAGTGAAGGGGAATATTTTGAGGGAGATTAACAGCAATGCATCATTTACTATAACAATTTTAAAAAATTTAAACATTCACCATATTTTGATCACCCCTTGTATAAGCCTGCCATGGGCTACAGCTGGGCACACGGAATGGCAGACAAGAAGAGAAAATCCCAACAGCCCTCCTCTCCAGCAGGAGACCAGGTACAGTCCGTATAGCAGGTCCCATACCTGTCCACCCTCTCCACATTACATCTGTCTCCCTTGGAAGACAACTGTGTAAGGCATGATGTTTGGAGCCACTACAGGTGTCCTAGAGTCACCCAGAGCACAGCCAGAGCTGCAGTGACTAGTACAGCAGCCACAAGCGATGAAATGCATGTGACTGTAAATATCAAGAGCTTCATACATGAGAGAATGTTAACTATCACATTAATAATACTTCTACTTGATTGCCTGATGAAATGACAATAGTTTGTTATTTTTTGTTTTGGTACTGGGGATTGAACTCGGGATCTTGCGCTTGTGAGGCAGGCGGTGGCAACAGTAAGTTAAATCCCCAGCCCGACAAGATATATTCTTAAAGTTAATTTTACTTGCTTCTTTTTACTTTTGAAAAGTGAGACTACCAGAAAATTGAAATGCCATCTGTGCTCACATCAGGTCCCCACTGTCCACCGCTAACCCAGAGAACCACAGGAGCATGGCCATAGGCCAGATGCTGAACTACTGGCCAACACTACCCTTGGACTACCTGTTAAAGTCAGCTGCATCTGTGAGTTCCAGCTGATAATCCAGCTCTTGTGCTCCATTTTCTTAATAATGTCCAAAAAGTTGGATCTCCCTTTTAGTGACAAAGAAAAGCTTACGTTTTTGGGAAAAAGATCCTGGTCAGCTTTCATAATGCAAATGGTACTGTAAACTCTGATGGTTGCTCACCTGAGAAGCTTCCAGAGTTGGCGTGGCAGCCAGTGTGGGATTTGGGGCTAACTTCACAACCTCTGAAAAGGCCACATCTGTTCCACCTGCAAGGCCTAGAAGAGAAAGGACATTTCCTATCTGTGCATGTTGCAAATGAAGTGGCTAACGGTGGACAGCACAAAGGATCACAGTGGGTGATAAAATGTTCTAAAACCAGGTACTGGGCTATAGCTCAGTGAAGGCCTTGCATTCAATCTCCAGCATTAAAAAAAAGTACCAAAGTCTGATTATGGTAGTAGTTGCACAGCTTAGCAAATTCACTAAAGATCACTTAACTGTACACTTAAAATAGGTAGTTTTCATGTATGTGTGTACACACACACACACACACACACACACACACACACACACTGTGCCTCAATACAATTGCTTTAAAAAGAGAAATTTCAAGTGCTGGCTTCCCTTTGGCAAGAGCCAAGCCTGGTCTTGCTCCTTGTGATCATGCCTTCTGTGGACAGGGTCCGCTAACTCTGATATTCACAGAAGAGGGCGGTATGTCTGCCTGTGCTCCCTCTGCTCGCCTACCCCTCACTACTTTTAGCCATCCAAGTCTTCTTTCAACGTGTTCTACCCTATGGTTTCTTTACTGTGGGGCATTTTCTTCCCATTCTTCATGCACCTACTCTCAGCCGCTCAAGTGAGCAGAGCTGAGAACATCCCTAGTTCAGGAGGCCAGCCCTCTGCCACCTTCCACCCCCAAGCACCCTCTGTTTTACTCAGAGCACTTTTCACAATTTGTGGCCACATATTTAGGTGATCCTTAGCTTAAGTTCCCTCCTTTGCCAAAGTGTAAACTTCACAAGCCAGAGATGGTAGCTCTCTGGGTCACCAGCACAACCCTGGTGCCTGGCATACCAACTGGCATACAGGAGGCACTCAATAACCACTTGGCAAACAAATGAGGAAAGAAGGAAGGCTGCTGCTTGTGCGCAAGAAACAACAGTGCATTTGTAGGTGATCTAAGCTGGTATGTCAGAGTGACAGAGAAACACACCACCAGCAAGGGTAAGAAGGCCCTGCAACGTGAGGACACATGCTACATAACCCCAGCTCAGAGCGGTTCAGGATAAAAGGTGGGTGGCCAGTCAAGAAATGAATCAAGACTCTGTTCCCATCCCCACTCCCCTTTACAGACCTGCTGCATACCAGCGAGTAAGAGAGCCCCCAACGGGGTGGCTAACATGCCTCTAGGTGGGTCAGGTAGGCTAGGTTTTGGTTTTAGAAGGCAGAGCAAGGCAGGATCCACGGTACCCTGCAGCAATTCAATGAGCACAGAAAGGGAAAACAAGAACAAGACACAGCAGAACAGTGAGGCCCCTAAATTCTTTCCCAGTAGTGCAGAAGGAGGAGTGTAAAGTAGATCCCAGCCTTCTCTCTGGCTACACCAAAGGCTAGCTTCTGCAACAGCATTTACACAGTTCTCAGGAAAAGTACTCTGAACTCAGCCCTTTACCCAGCTATTCTGCGGGGTGGGGTAACTAAGACCTTGTTGGACACATCAGGCCTCAAAAATCATCATTTGCTGAACTTGAATTCTCCTTAAATATTTATTAAGGTTGTACAGGCTGATAAAACTAGCACAGAGGGCTGGGGGTGTGCCTCAGTGATAGAGCACTTGCCTACTGTGTGCGAAGCTGGGTTCAGTCTCTAATGCCAAACACCACAAACAAACAAAAACACTAGCATAGAAACAAAGGACAAAGAAATGGCAGGGAGTTAAAGCCAGGCATGGTGGTGCATACCTGTAACCCAACACTCTGGGATGCTGAGGCAGGACAATCACAAGTTTGAGCTGAGCCTCCAAAAGCCGTGGGTTTAATCTACTGTACCAGAAAGAAAGAATAAAAAGAAAGATAGATAGGTGAAATTGCAGGGAGTTGAAAAAATAAAACCAAAATGTGGTTTAAAACACAATGATCTGATAATAAATTCACCAGTGATCTTGATACAGGAACGGCATGAAGTGGGGGCAGGGTGCATGGAGTGATTAGGAGGGGAATGAAAGGCTATTAAAATAAGTTAATTCTCTCTGATGAATTTGCAACACAAAGAAAAATGTATCTAAGTAGTAAGCAGGACAGTTAAGAGTAAACATGCAGAGAATGGAAGCATCAGAGGGAAGGACAAAGTCCTGGAGTCACATGGTCGCAAACAGCCCAAACGGAGGAAGCCCAGCCTCGCCAGCCTGCTCCCTGGACAGTGCACCTGGATGGGGCCCGCTAACTGTAGGGTGTGGAGTTTCTGCGCCCGAGCCACAGCCTGGGGAAATCCTCTGCGGAGCTGTCCAGGGTCCTGGACTGTTTGGTTCTGAGCCCTCTGTTTTTGTCTCAACTTCCTGTTCTTGCTAAAAAAAACAGTTCTGGACTTCATCTCCCTCTTCTTCTCACCAGCCAGCCTGACCCATGTCCACACTCCTTCAAGCATTTCCTTCCTGGCGTCTCACCACGGAGCATGACTCTGACCAAACTTTGTTCAGTCCGGTCTGTCTCCACTTTAAGTAGAGAACAAAGAACAGAGGGTTACGCACAATTCTTACCTGCTAGCAGGACAAAATGAGGCTAACGGCCCAAGACTCCAATGTCCCACACTGTGAACACCCTACTCCTCCCTTTCCAGCCTCTTTGATCCAGTCGATGTTCCAGCCACCTCCAGTGACCTCTATGTCCCATCCACCAACCTACCGTGAAAAGCTCGGTATGCAGAACCCGCACAGGCAGAGTTGGCAGTGTCTGTGACATACACTGGGGCACCGAACACATCTGCAAGCACCTGGGGAGGACAGAGGTTTTGCTGCAAAGTCATTGCACAGAAGGGCCATGGATGCTGTGAGATGTACTCCCCGGGCTCCCTTCCTCACGCCTCATGATCCCTGCCATTCAACCTCTGCTGCCTCAAAGATGTATTTAGGGTGTAGCTAAGTGGCCGAGCACTTACCTAGCATGCACAAGGGCCTGGGTTTGGTCCTAGCACCAAAAAAAAAAAAAAAGTCTATACTTGGCTATGGCCATGGCTCTATGCCTCACTGCCTTACAGCTGGGCATCAGACTAACATTAACATGTGCAAACTAACAAGGCCATGTTTTATGGGGACTACAATGAGATCTTCCATTTAAGGGGGAAAAATTGCATTAGTTTAAGAGGACAACATGTATGAAGAGTCCCATCTCAGGTTCTGCTGCTAGAAAATCTTACCTGAGACAGGCATACCACGACCCAGCAGTTTTTTGTCTGTTTGTGTTTTTTTGAGGCAGGGTCTCACCATGTAATTCAGACTAGCCCTGAACTTACTATGTAGCCCAGGCTGGCCTTGGACTCGGGCCAATCCTCCTGCCTCAGCCTCTCAAGTGCTGGGATTATAGCCTAAGAGGACCTCATGGCCCCACAATGTGAGAGCCTGTGTTTCAGATGTCTGGGGCTTGACTCTACTTTTGATCAAATATTTCCAGCATCATAAAGAAACAGAAGGAGAGAGACCAGTCTGGCAACTGTGATACAGGAGGAATGGCTGGAGAAATGGAAAATTGTACTGGAAGGGAAAAGTCCTGAAGGGCAGGAACATGGCATCAGATGTTGGAAGGTTCACCGTGGTGACAGGCACTTCTCAAGTGACTGCAGAGCCAGTGCTGCTCTCAAAGAGGATCGCACAGGAAAGCAGAGGCCAACTGCATGTGTGACAGAACATTTCAGTGGGGGAGCACGGGCAATGAAGCTGCATCCTGGAGTGGGAGCCACAGCTCCATTCCCAAGGGGTGGGCATGGATACTGTCCTTCCTGTGGCACAGAACAGACACGGAGAAGCAGTGGGCCCTGCCACTGCCCACCTGCAAGATGTCTCTGTTGCAAGACGCTCCTCCAGTGGCCAGAATCTTTGTCTTGGGCACTACAAGGCAAAAGAAATAAAAGGCATGGCAGTGGTTCCCCGGGGCGGCAAGGGCCATTTCCAGGGCTCACAGCTACCCACGGCCCCCAGTAGGCCTGTGCCTCCTGCTTCCCACCAGGCCTGGCTCTGTTTGTGCAGGACGGTCTCATAATGTGTCTGTGAGGCGGCTGCCCATCTGCCTTTGTTGTTTCAGTATTTTATTACTTTTTTTAAAAATCTCCCAACAAACAGAAAGGAGAAAGGAATTTCCTTAGAATTATCATTCTATATATGACACCGATAGTATTTATTATCAGTGAAGAATGGGCAGTAGGGGCTGTTCTTCCCTCCCTGGGTTGTATCCTGAAAGGCATGGAGGAGGAAGCTATGAGAGGATGGGGAGGTTTTAAAACCTGAAAATTCTGAGAAGCACTTAAGCGCCTCCTTATGACTCGGGAGGCAGCTCCCCTAACTTCTTCTGTTCTCTCCCACCAACGCTGGCAGAACCTCAACGATAGCGTAGTGGTTCCCCAGGTGAGGACACAGGCTTAGGAGAAGGGCAGCTTGGCTTCACTCCCCATATCCCAGTGCTTCCCCGTTGCAGTTCTGAATCCTTTCCGCACCCTTGACATAAAGGGAAATGGGGGCTGGGGATTTAGCTCAGTGGTTCTGGCACCTGCTTCACAAGCACAAGGACCCGAGTTTGATCCCCTGTACCAAAACTAAACAAACAAACAAAGGTAAATGGGACTGTAGGCGCTACACCCATCTCTCAGTTGCTTCGACCGGTCCCTTTATCCCTCACGGCCTGGTGTTTTCTTCCTCTAAGTCTTGGCAACTCCTGTTCAAAGTTCTCTGTAAATTTTCTCTTTTCTTTTTCTATAAATTAATTCGCTTTCAGTTAAAAATTGTAGAATTTTAAGATATTAATATTAATACAGTTCAAATATTATACACTGATAATATTTACAACAAATATTGTTATTGCCATTATTACTATTATTATTAGCAGCACTACTACTAAGCTACATCCACAGACTTTTTAATCATGTCTTAGACAGGGCCTCTTAGACAGATACCCATGCTGGCACTGAATCTGCAATATTCCTGCCTCAGCCTCCAGAGTAGCTGTGACTCCAGGTGTGCACCGCTGCACCTGGCACAAACACCATTTTTACAAAACAATTTAGAGGTATTCTCTGTAAGACTGGTATGCACAAGGGGCCCCGGCATCCATACCCACAAGGAGCCCTGTCTCACACTCAATCAGCGGATCTGTGTGAACAACAGAACCCGGGTGGGTGACAAGACGTGGACTCCAAGACTGGGTCATAAGAGAGAGGGAGGCTCTCACTTTGACCTGGGCCTCTTTCTCTGATCAGTCACACTGAGGGAAGCTAACTGCCATGCCATGGAGTCACTCAGGCAACCCGAGGGAGGGGCTGACGTGGTGGGGAGTGGAGGCCTCGTGCCAAGCACCACGTGAGCATGCCATCTTGGAAGCAGACCCTCCACCCTCCACCCGCCCTTCAGACAGCTACAGTCTCAACAACAGCCTGACAGCAACCTCGGGAGACTCTGCCAATCAGAGCCACCCAGCAGAGCAAGGAACTGGCACAGTCCCAGCTACCCAAGAGGCTGAGGTAGGAGGAGGACATGAGCCCAGGAGGAGTTAAAAGCTAGCCTGGGCAATATAACAAGACCACATCTCTTAAAAAAAGAACAAAAACTACAGACAAACCACAAAGTCACAATAATAACGGGTGTCCCAAAACAGACCAACCAACCAGTGGAGTTGAAATGGAAGTAGAGAGGTCCGTGTGGATACAGGAACTTAAAAGTGATAAAGGGGCACCAGAAGTCATGGGGAAAAACAGACAATTCTGCAGACAGGATTTGGAAAACTAGATCAATGTACAGAAAAAAAATCAACTGGGCCACAATTTATATCACTTTCAAAGTCTCCAGATGGATCAACATCTGAAGTCTGGAAAGGAAAATTAGAACATTAACAGAAGAAAATGCAAGACAATGTTTCTACAATGCCAGTGTAGGGGAAACCTCTCAAGCAATACTGCAAAATCATGAGATAAAAACTTGATGAACTGCTGACATTGTAAGTTTAGCAAACCAGTGGAGAGAGGGGAAGGGAGAGAAGGGGAAAGGGATGAAAAAAGAATTAAAATGTGTTATATGGCTGGGTGTGGTGGTGTGCACCTGTAATCCCAGTACTTGGGAGGCTGAGGCAGGAGGATCGCTGTGAGTTCAAGGCCAGCCTTAACTATACAGCGAGACCTTGTCTCAAAAAAAAAAAAAAAAAAAAAAAAC